TTTGGAGTTAGAAAAAACTTTTTTTTCCATGTATGATTCTGGGTTGACAAGGGTTTTGAACTGGAAGCCAGAAAGCCTTGTGTTATTTGAGTTGAATGATTAAAATCGAGTCTGTGAGCCCAGTACATTTTTTCAGAATGTTTGATGTTAGAAGTCACTGACATCAGCACTTATTAATTGTGGTCAGAGGCTTTAAAGACCTTCGGGTTGCCAGGTTTTTGTTACTTATTTTATGAAAGTGGCCTCATGGGCACCATCTTCTGTAGTGGAGTCAAATCCTACTCAGGGGATTAAGTTGTAAAATGAGTACATACGACGAAAGTTAAGCGTAGTCCACATTTCCATTAAACACACTGTAACTCATCCCTCCAGGACTCCCTTGCCCATCGTACCCTCGCATTCGGCCCAGTCTGGGGTTCCTCAGCATCGCGCTCACGCTTCCTCGTTAGCTGCCTAAGCGGCACCGACCACACACGCGCCCTGATACAGAACAAAACAGTCTCCGCCTTCGTGGAAATTACATTCTAGTGAGGAGGCAAATAATCACATGAGCGAATAAGTAAAATTTCATCAGATAGTTTTATGCTCGGCGGAGACAAAGGAGGAGCCGGGGAGAGGCAGAGAGCGGGGCCAGTGTCATCATGGTCACAGACGGTGCAAACCGGGCATCTGCCCATGCGCAGTGCATCCGAATCCTGGTCTGCACACAGCAGCGAAAGATGTTACTGTGGCATCGCAAGTTTCTAAAGAATGCCTGTGTCATGAAACAGACTGACTCTGAATTCATTTATGAGAAATTTTAAGAAATGTCAGAGAACTGGAAGCCTCTGACATGTATTAAAATTGAAGCGTGCTACATTTATACAAAAAGGATCAAGTTCCATAGAAAAACTCAGGATTCAGGGCTTTCCCTTAAATTTGAAGGGAAGCCCTGACGAGATTTGAAGTACTTTGTGTTGAGAAACTTGATAGGGAAAAAAATCCACCCCAGCTCAATGTCTGTTGAAAGTGCTCCTCGTGCGTGTGTCTTGCTTACAGATGTTTGAGGAAAACATCTTGATTTAGTGCCTTTCTTGCACGTCTCCCAGATCTGTCATTATATGAGGCTCTGGTTCTTCACCCATCCAGGAAAATACTCCTCTAGCCTGGAAGTCTGCCAGTTAGACAGCAGAGAAATTTTGTATGCAGTCTATAAATTTATATACATAAAAGTACCCGGCCTTTGAAGAGGTGATTAAAATTGTTTGCTTCCTTTCTTTTTATCAAGTCCTTTGGGACTTCCTCATAGATTAGAGTAGAAAACATCTAATATTATGTATAAATCTATGTTTATATAACCATTAGTATTTTTTAATTAAGATAATTGATATAATCTGTTTTAGATGTACAACATAATGATTCAATAAACCGTTAGTATTTAAATAAATATAATAATTGTACTATGAGATGTTCTTTAGTTTGCAGGCAATCTCCTAAAATCTTCAATTCTATATGGTTGAATGTAAACACCACCAGTTAAATATTAGGTTAGCTGGTTCTCTCCTGACATCTAGTGTTCCTGATTCATTCCTGCAAAATACGTTGGTTTGTTTTCAACTACTATTAGAATGAAAATGTTATATGGAATAAAAATTTCATTCATTTTAGAAAGAAATTTAAGTGGCATAAAATTACAAGCTACATAATAATGAAGCTTCTGTTTCTAAGGAGCAAAAGACGCTTTTCTCTTACTGTCTCTCATATGAGAAAACGGTGTATTTCCTTGCCGTTCTGATGGGTAAGACAGAAAGAACCAGCATGTATGTAGAACCCTTCCATTAATGCAAGGAAGGAGGGGAAGTGAGAGAAGGGGCACTTTCTGAGGGCCTACTATGTGCCAGGTACTGGGATTGAATACCTTAGCATGGGTCATCACTGTGCAGAAGCTACAGGACCATCCTAACCCACCTAAACCCTGGAAACTCAGCCCGACGACACACTGAGGATTTTCCTACTCTGCAGTGTGTAAGTGGAGAGGGCCGACCTCCCTTGACGAAACATCTCGTGCCAGGCCTCAAGTTACACAAACTGTAGGCACTCAGAAACATCCGGCTGAACAGAAACGAGCGACGGCGCCTGTCCTTTACGTTCAACATTGCCATTCCGTTTGAGATGTTCCACACGGGTCAGAGAAAGGGCAAAGCTGGAGCTAAGAACATTGGTGCTTGTTCCCCCAAAACCCTCAGGCCCGGAAACTGGCTGTAGGCTGGAAAGGATCCGTGTTAGCTGTCTGTCACGTGTAGCAAAACAGGCGACACTAAACCGGTCCTCCCTCCTTTTGTTCTTCCTTCCTTTAACTTCTCCTAACCTCGTGCGCCCTCACTGGCACTTTGTCTTTCAGCCTGTGCTCCTCTCCTGCTGACAAAGAAGTCAGGATCCCTGAGGCTCACAGTGGCCCGAGGACTAGTGGCATCAGCATCACTCAGGAGCTGGCTAGACACGCAGATCCTCAGGCCCCATCCAGACCTACTGAAAAGGAATCTGCATTTTCACAAGATCCCGTGTGACTCCTATGTACGTAGAAGTTTGAAAAGCACCACTCCAGACCAGCAGCGGTAGTAAATATGTTTCAGCTGACAAACCCATTCCAGCAAATGAGTAGCTGACTGGAGCCATGAACTGGCCCAACCAGGGGTCCCGGGTCTGTAAGGGGTATCCTCTCTAAGCACAGGACAGAGGGGACATCCATACTTTGTATTCAGGAACAAACTTTCTGATACCTCTGAGCGTTTACTTGTCTAAGCAGCCGTTGGCCCTGGGCCCCTCCTGGCAAGGCAGTATCACCTAGACTCAGGCTGGTAGAGCCCACGCTCTGGATCTTGCCCATCGGGGGTCCCCACACTTGGAGCACCTTCCTCAAAGTTGTCTGATCCCCTTTCTTGTGCCTGGGACTGAGCAGGGCCAGAAGTGCTATCTGGGTTAGGTTCCCCAAGCCTGGACCTGGTCTTGTGTGGGGGTCTTGGTCGCAGGAAGCACCTAGGTCAACATTTCGTAGGTACCTAATGGTGACAAGGCAGCCATGGAAGAGCTAAGTGGGTAGGACACTCGGAGCCTGGCCAGACCTGCAGGGCCCTAACTCCCACTTCTCCCCTTCAAGGTGCTGTCCAACACTGCTCTGTTCTGTCCAGAGGCCCTGAGCAGCTCTGGGATTCATGCCTATGGGATTGCCCCGGGTCCTGTGGCCAGACTCTAGTTCCAGGAAAGCCACCCGACAGTATTGCTTTCATGGGACCGCATGAGATCGGGTAGCCAGAATAGTGTCGCTATGCTGATTTTCTGACTTTTGTGATAGGCACAGGATCTGGGCTATTGGAGATCAACCATGACCTTGGGCTTGAGCCACATATGTGGGCCCATATGGGCTCTTACTCATCTTCCAACTACAGTGTCAAGCTCCGGGTCACAGCCTGCAGAGGTGGTGGGGTAGCAACACCCAGCATTTAGCCTCCATGCCTCCAGCCACTCAAGATGGTCGGTCACTCCACTCCTTCCCAGACTCCACACGATGTGTCGGGCAGTCTTTCAGGGGTTGCCACCCGTCTCCTCCCAGGGCTTTCCTGACTCTTGTTCAGTGACATCAACAGGCACTTCTAATTCATGTCCCCTCTTGCTGCCATTGATATAGCAATAGGTTGCTATATCATTGATATAGGTTGTGCTGGGTCAGTCTTAAACCAAGCTACCTGAGGGACAGAGGGACAGACATTCCTGCCCAAATGGGACTGTTCTTCTCACTTGTCCTCAAGCCCCTTGCCTGGCCTCCTTCAGGGGATGGTGTGTAGAAGGCGGGGACGGTGGGGGCAGGGGGTAGGTGTCAACTGTGAGAGATTCCGTTCTCAGAATAAAGTGATTCCAGCATAAAGACTTTAAAAAAAAAAAAAATGGTTGGAAAAATGGAAAACTTAGCATGAGTGAAAAACAAATGATTCACATTTTTTTTTGCATGTGTGCTCATCATTAATGAAGCACAGTGAGAATCTCTGGGAGCAATCAGAGGCTGGAAGCCAGTATTCACAGGCAGAAGTGTGGATGTTACAGCATCCTGGGTGATGATAGTCAGGATTAAATGTTATTAGAGAACTTGACAGACATGCAGATCTGTACTATTTCAAAACAAATGGGATGAAGAGCCCTGGCAGTATAAGTGTCACTACCTTTTTCTAGTGGCGAGAGACACGAAATCAGCCAGAAATGGCACATTTAACAATAAGACTCAATGAAGAATCCTTGTGCTCACAGACAGAAGCTAAATCTGCCACACTTCTATCAAAGTCCTTTTTAGCTGTGTTGGTCTCTTTTAATTTCTGTGTTCTGCTCAGCCTTACTGTCCAAAGGTTATGGTCTACCTCAGTGTCTTCGGATTACTGTCCTTACCTGTCTGTACATGAACTCATTCATCATCTCCTCCATCATCTTCCTTCATCACTCCCTGCTTCCACTTTAGCAGCAGCTCTGGATGACTAAGGAGAACAGATGCATAAACACTGTCTATCAGAAACAGCTCGAAAAATCCTTCCTGCTTGGCTGTCCTCCAGGAATCCCTTCGTTTCAGTCTGTGAGGGTACACAGGATGGTGAGGGATGGGAGGCAAGCATAGATTGAGAAATATATTAAAATGTACCCAAGTAAATGTATGACAGTTTTCAAATTCTTTTCCATGGGAAAAAGTTCATTCATAAATAGTCGCAGTACTTATTGAGGGCCTACTATGCTAGACACTGAGGGAGATGAAATGTTCAAGACACAGACTCTGCTTTCAGGTGCGACTTTAACTGTGGAGCTAAAACAGCAGAAAGGGCAATATATGTATGTGTACACACACACACACACACACACAAAATGCAAAAGACAAAGACATCACAGTGAACTCGAGGTAGGATTTAAAGAGCCTTCAGCAAGGCTGGTTTGGCTGGGTAGGGGTGGTATTTATTTCTGGAATCAATCAGTTAGACAAAATAAAATACTTATATTTTCAATAAATTTATTTTCTCTAATGTTGAGACAAAAGAAAGCTTTCCCATGAAATACACTGTGATTATTTATCTTCTTCACCGATTATCGAATGTGATATAGTCAAATATACTGAATGATGAATCAGAGCCAGTATCGTAGAAAAGGAATCTATATGGCTATTATTGACATGAGTAGCAAGTTATTACAACAGTTTAATCATGGAATTATTTGAAATTCCTGTTAACATATTGAAGGCTATCAATTAAATATATAACTTTGCTGAAATGAAGAAATATTCGCAGTGTAAACTGGATGGAACTGATAAATCAGTGCTTCATCTTCTTCAACATCAGATTCAAAATGATGACTGTTTTTCCGAGCTGCAAGAAAAAGTATAAATTTTTTAAAAGACAGAATAAAGTTTTCAAAAGACTACTTTATAATATCCTATAATCAGCATTACTAAGTGGAAAAACACCACCAAAAGGAGACATGCCTAAAAAAATTTCCCTCAAATAAAGCAGCATCTGATGTGGCTACTATTGATACAGCAGTTATATCTGCCCTGCACCAGATCCAACGTGGCTCCTGCTCCCTCATTCATGCAAACACTTAGTAAGCGCTGACTGTGTACAAGATTTGATGCAGAGCCTGGTGGCAGAAACCTAAGCAGGGCAAGGTTCCAGTAACCACAGAATTGCAATGCTTATCTTCACAGAGATGCTTCAAGAGGATGGAGAGACTGGCAAAGCTGAGGCAGGTGGAGCAATGATGTAATTTCCACAGATAAGGCAGAAATGTGAAAAACTCAAAGGCACAGAGCAGTCGGCATGGCTAAAGTTTGGATGCGGAGAGGTGAAGGCTCAGAGTTTATCCTAAAGTCAAAATAAAGTACATATAGGCGTTTATGGCATGTTTACAAGGAAAGATATTAAAAAATAAAGACCAAACACACAGCCCTGCCATGTGAAAATACTGCAGCAAACCCTGCTCTGCCCACTGCTTCTCTCACTGACTCCTGTACACATGGCAGGAAAACGTTTCTTGGGACTGATCGGGCACATGGAAGGACTATTTTTAGGTTTTCTGTCATGAAACTACCCATTCAACTGAGCATAATTCTAAACCAGAGTGAACCAGGAGGAAGCACTCTACTGGCCAGTGAGGGCCCGAGGGCTGGAGCCAGGCCGAGCTTGGAGCCAGCTGCCAACCAGGCCCACTGAGGTTTTCTGTGGCCACGCCTCGTCAGTGACGCTCTGCCCTGGCTCACTGTGTCTGGCGCGCTGTCTTACCCCAGAATCACTCAACTAAAACATAACCATCTACAGCTAAATTCTCGATTTTACTCATCAACCTGAGATAGCAATAAAACATGTTTTCATCGTGAAAACACAAAGCTTATTCACTTCTCTAACGTGCCAAAGACCACAGATAGCGGCCTTAAAATCAGACTGACGACTATATACTCAATTTATATAATTGTCTTGGAAAACTAATTTTCAGAGAAATTATAATTAAGGCATTATTCCTAAAAAGAAGAGTAACAAGGGAGAATATTTTTTTTTTAAAAAAGTATGCAAGAAAGAAAAATGAATTCAACAATCTTTATGCCGTTGTTCAAGAATTCCACCCACTTTAGAGTGTGTAATACTAGAAGTGAAATCGCTGTCCTGGTTTTTTCTGAATGCCTAACGCCTCAATTTCAGGGCTTTCACATGATTTAATTTTCTTTAAAAGTTAAACCTACAGGACTATTACAGAGCAAGAGTATGTAAAAGTTCAGGGAGGGGGCAATTTCCTTTAAAGTTACCCCAACAGAGTGATAAAATTATATGCCCACATATTACCTTCAGAAACAAAGAAGTCTGCTAAATAAAACGCAGCCCTCACAGCGTTAGGTGCGTGAGAAATTCCCGGAAATTTTCCCCACTCATAAGGAGCTTTCTCTGGATGCCACTGGACGCCATATACTGGATATTTGTACCCTGCATGAAGAACACAAACGGGTAAGGAACAAGCTGTAAGAATAGCCTATGATGTCACCTATAAATTATGTTTTACGTCCTATTTAAAACATTATTTTCAACTCACTATGTCAAAGTAAAATTATCTGCATTCTCAGACACAAAACAATTTCAGCTCACAGTCAATGTAAAAATTCACAATACAGTATTTCACTGATTTTCGACATATTACGATTTGTAAGATAATTCACTTTACTAGATCATCAAATTAGAGTAAAAGAGTTGAGCCGCGGCAGATGTCCCGGTTCAACAATCAAGTACACATTCAATTAGTGACCCCAGTTTCTTCCGTGATGGGTCTTCTTCCCCTCCCTGCGACTTCACATCACACTTTCGTGCCCTCCCGTTAATGACTTATCCCAGTGAGAATGAACTATGCCAGCATTCTTTGGTGTTCTTTTACGTAAGCACACCAGCTTGTCTCAGCCTAAACTGTGTCTCTCGCAGTCATGACTTCACAGTACCAATTTTTAAAATAGTCTTTTAAAGTTTAAATTTGGAAAAAATAAAAAAAAATAAAGTTTAAATTTGGTGTGAGTTTTGGTAATATAGTTCAATTATTTTTAGAATTTTTAAATGTCTTCATATATGAAAATTATATGATCGCTAAGATTTACTTCCAAAAATAAACATGAGGAAAAGCAGGTATGAAACAAGAATGGCCACAGATAGGTTGACAGCTGCTGAAGCTTAGAGATAGGTATCTGGAGGTTCATCATATTACTCTCTCTACTTTAAACATGTCTTAAAAATTCCATAATTTTATTTATTTAATTTATTTTTTATTATGGTGACACTGGTTAACGAAATTCGGTAAGTTTCAAGTGTACAATTCAACAGTAAGGCATATATATATTGCACTGTGTGTTCACCACCCATTTTTTAAAAAAACATGAATATGAGTAATATTTACCTTCTGAAAAATGTGTGTACTCGTTTCTTCACATATTCCTTTCCTCATTCTAATTGAAAAAAAAAAGCTTCCCTCTATTATTTTTGTTTTAAAATCATAACCATGACAACCATGGGAAAGTACTTGGGAAATAAAGAGAATTAGCTAAAAACAGAGATATCTAGGGGAAAGAGCGCTGTCCTTTCACATCCCAAAGGGTCCGCCACTAGAGATCACGTCACAGAAAGGTATTTTATCCCAGCCTTTGTGGTGTTCAGAAGGGGAAATAACCTACCAGCACCCAGCTATGCCTCACAACCCTTCTCCCTACCTTCTTTCTCTCTCATCTGAGATGACAGGCGAAGCTACCAGAAGGAGACCCGCAGGCTGGATGACTAGAAAATTAACTGTGACACAACCAACTGAAAGGAGATGTTCTAATATATGCCTTTGAGACATGAAAAGTATTATTTAGGATAAGAAATGTCTTAAGCAATAAACTGTAACAAGGATTTATTGAATGAGTGGATGGATGGACGGATGGATGGATGGAGATATACACTGACACCGAGAAACAAGTGGGATTCACACTTCCTTAGCAAACTGCATTACTGAAAGATCAGGTAGGTCCCTGACAACTGCAGGAATCATGCCCTGCCTCACTAATTTAAAGTGTGAAGGGTGAAAATAAAAACATGCACATTACGGAGCATCGTAAGTGTTCCCATCTAGCAGGTGATAAAACTTCCAAATGCGCTTGGTACGATGCCACAGCCGGGAGCAGAACCAACATGGAAACTGATTTCCTAACTTCCAACCCAACACTCTTTTATTTAAATAATCAGCCATTAACTTGACATCTACAGATTTATATAAAGTCCTGGAATTACAAAGAAGAATAAGATGCAGTTCCAGCTCTTGATGAGCTTAGTCTTGGGGGAAGATAGCACATGAGCAAATAAATGCAAAAACAGACATTCTTAGGTAGCAGAGCAAGGAGGAAGGAGGAGCACCGAAGACGTGGGAGGAAGAACGACGGGCGGGCGGCCTCTGGAGACGACCATGACCTGACTGTGAGGGTAGCGAGAGCACGTCGGGAGAAGGCAGTGGGGAGGAAGGGGAGCTTCTCAGAAAGGAAAGAACATAAGGGAAAGCACCGGGCAAGACGTGTCACTGTGTGTACTAAACAGGATGCACAGGACAGGCTAGCGATGCCGGCCGGGAGAGGTCACGGCAAATGGCAAACGACCTGGCAAAGCTAGACTTTTTCCCCCATGTGCTGACAGGCCGCTGTGGGGTTTTCCTCAAGTATTCCAATCGGACTGGTATTTCAGAGGGGTCAGCAGCAGCTGGCTGGAGGGCCTGAGGAAGACTTGGGGGTGAATGCGACAATCCAGGCAGAAGGTGGTTAATGCTGAAGTACGCCCGGGGTAGGCTGAATAGACAGGTCACATGTGCAAGAAGGATCTGGGGCGTAGAAATTTTTCAGATGTGGAGAAGGATGGTACGAACCACAGACAGCTTCCAGGGCTCTAACTTGGGATGATTTGAGAATGGCAGAGCTACTGACTGAAGTAAAAACTACAGGAAGGGAACTGGTTCAAGAGAAAATGGTAAGCTCAGGTAAGTTCACTTCAGACCGTTTTGATCCACCTTCCCCAGAATTCCCCAGACATTGTTTCTAAATCCTTAGATGTCTGACCTCCCCCCACAAGCAAGCCAGTGACATGGCCAATCTCTGGACGACCTGAGCCACTTCCAGTTCACTCCGGTTCATTCCACTCCAGCGCCCTGGCCTCAGGCAGGACTCACCAGCCTCACCAACTGCCCGCCTATTGTTTCTGCAAGTTCTCATTCACGGTATTTTGCTTCCTTGTACCTTCGTGATTTTCTGGCTATGAATTGTTCATTTTCCTTAAAACTTCCTAATATGGAAATTCCTTGAGGTCTGCAATAAATGTAAGTTCCTCCAGAAAGAATTATTTATATTTGCTTCTGCCATGCGTGTGGGACCACTCTCAGTCTGAGCCAAGTTTAAACAAAATTTTTGACTGAAATTCCTCAAACTTCCCAGTTAGTACAACGTAGGCCGCGCTCGACCAGCCTGCCATCATGAGTGCTCAAAGCTCACTCACCACTCCGACTCCCCAACTGCCGCGGTCCAAGACGGGCAGTTCTCCTCAAAGTTCTGCGGGCAGGATTTGTTGAGAGTGTAGCCTTCAGGTCCTGCTCCATGGGGTCCTCTCCCTGGAGGGGGGTCCTGAGCTTCACTTCGAGTTCTCATTTAATAATAATGCTCATGTAGATACTCCACGTCAGCGGGTGTCCCTGGCGTAGTGGCCATCACGCTCACCTGACATGTGAGAGGGCCTCGGTTCGAAACCAAGCGAGACAGCTGGTGCTCTTTGCATTCCAGATGCTGGTAGAAACCACAGACGGCCTCCTTCTGGGCGGCCCCACCTACACACTCCCGTAACTCTTGGGATCTGGGCCTGAGTATCCTTAATTTCTTGCCACTTCACCAAAAAAGCATTTAGGAAGATGTTTTTCTGTACGTCGGTTCCACCTTTTGCTGCTGTCCGGAGGAGGATCTGTCACGGTGCATAACGTGCGGTGCGGCTGGAAAGAGCAGCCACCTTCCCACTCGCTCCTTCACCCGCTCCCCCTCTCCCCTCCACTTCTCTTCTTCACACCCATTCTGGGAGGTGACCCAAGCAGACCACAGCTAATCACATCTGTCTCCACAGGTGCCCTAACTTCCATCTTCGAACCCCAAACTTAACATGATTGCATTCATAAGAAGACTATAAAATCAAAATTAATAAATATAAACATAATGTGAAAAAATGTAAATGTGCAGTGATATATACCTTCCACTGTTGAAATAAACTCAATCGTGCCATCTGTATTTGTAGTTAGTACGTTGAAAAACTCCTTTAACTTTGCATTCTTCGTAAAATTCTAGAGTATAAAAATAAAGCAAAATAATTACTCCTATAATTAATCTAAGCGCATTAATTTCATTATGTAATTAATGTGATACCATCTTGGAGAGGCTCCACTTGTGGAAATTTGCAGTCAGAGGTTCTATTGCTAACGACAGCAAC